ATATTTGATATTAAAATTAATTTATTAAACATGAGTAATAAGTATATAGTATAATAGTATTGATATTGGTATAATTAAAAAAAATCAATTTGAATCGTTATTTGATATTAATCACTACTAATTGGATTTTTTTTAACTGATATATATCGATATATATCGATTACTAACTAACTTGATAGTCATCATCATGGGGTATTTATATCGATTGCTATCCAATAACTGATTAACATCGATAGTAATCCCCTTGCAAATTTTGGTGATGTAAGGATAGCAAATGTTTTAAAATGTGATCTTAAAAAACATGTTTGTTTAATTTAAAACAGTTGAAAATTGTTTTAATACATTATGATATAATATGATCTGAATATGATCCAAATTGCATAATTTAATTTATAATATTTTTATGATCGATACTCAAAAATAAATTAATTGATATTCAAAAAATAAATTAAATAAAAAAATTTCAAAAATGTCTTATGTTCGCGGAAGACCATCTAAAGAGATCCATTTGAACTTTACGAAAATTGCTAAACCCAATAGACATGGTTGAAAAACACTCCAAAAATGCAATTATTGCGAAGAAGACTGTGTTGATTCAGTTGACCAATTAAAAGGCCATTTAAAAAACTTCTAAGAAATATAAAAAATATAAAGAGATTCATTAAAAATTAAGGATCTAAATTTTGGTTTGAATAATATACAATTGGATAAATCATATGTAAATAGTATATTAGCAAGGTTTTTTAATTTGACTGATATTCCTTTTATGGCTATTGAAAATTCTTTCTGGAAAAAATTTATGAAAGTAGTAATATTTACAAGAAGATGCATATATTGTAACCTTGGATTTCAACACTAACAAATGTAAAACTAGTACAGAATGAAAGCTGTATTTGCTGATAAGCAATTATGCATTTAAAATCAATGGAAGTTATATTTGCGAATAGGTGAAATTATGCATTTAAACTCTTAAAACAATCAAATACATACATTCTTAAATGTAATAAATTTGAAATTGTATAGCATATTGTTTTTTGAAAATTTTCTTTAACAATAGAAACCAAAATTAGCTAATTAGAAATGATAATTTTAATTTTAGCCAAATTTTAGAATTAGATACCAATGTTTTAAAAAAAGTTTTAAAACAATAAAAAATATTAAAAAACTGTTTAAAACATTTTTTTACTATCCTTACTGTCAGATCACATTTCCAGTTTCATATTTCTTCCTCGCTTGCTTTATATCTCCAGGTATAATGGCATATAGGTGGAGAACAGTAGGAGCTTCAATCAAGAGTGCATTGTGGTTCTTCTATCTCTTTCTTTTGGTAGTGGCTTTCCTCTGAGATTGAAAGTTCGAGTGTATGACCATAGCATCAGTAAGTGTCAGACGAGTTTCTTCTTAGGTACGAATACAGTTAATTCTTGGGGTTTATTTTTTAAGTTCTGTAGTAATCAAAATAGTTGTTCTTGGTCTTTTCTTGGAACCTCTGTATCATTAATTTCACATCTTTTGGGATATTTTGGCCCATATGGATCTTCAATTATCCTCTTAAACCTTTTGACCTTCTTCTTCCAGGTTTCATATGTGAGGTTTGAGATACTTCATTCATATCCTTTGTTATTCTTTGGTTCGTTCAAATTTTTACCTTCAGACTTTTGAATTATGTTTTTGAGCTCTTCGACATTCTTCTTCCAGACTTCACAAGCACATTCTATCATTATTGGCATCAGGTTCTTTATCATTTTTAATTTCATGGCTGCATCAACATGGCTCATCTCTGTGAACTTTTGGTAGCAAGTTGGTACTTTAGGTTTTTCTTCAACTCCGGTTTCTTTTTTATAATACTGATTGAAGTCATCTTTATCGAACTCCATTTCGGCGAGATTTTGATAGTAAGTAAATGCCTTATTTTTGTCTTTTTCAGCTTGTTCATCTGTTTTGAATTCAATTCTGTCTTTATTATGATATTGAGGATTTTTCCTTCACTATCAAGATTCAATTTGATAAGCTCTTTACTTCTTTTTAAAGTTTTATGTTTCTCTTTTTCAACTCAGATTCCTTCGGCAGCTTTGTTTGTATTGACCATTACTCAATTGATGAGTTTGTTAGGTCCTTTCTTTTCCCCTTCATTTTTAAGGTTTAGTTCAGTAAGTCTTTTATAGTCTTTGAACACTTTATAATCATTTTTTTGACTTGGGTTTTTCCGGTCCCATCTTTATGGCAAAAATTAAGGTTGAAGGTTTCTTTATTGAACTCCACATTGGTGAGATTTTAATAGTAAGTGGATGCTTTATTTTTGTCTTTTCCAACTCGCTTATCTGTTTTGAATTCGATTTCATCTTTAAACTTTTCTTTTTCTTTTCCAAGACTAATTCTTGTAGATATTTTATAATCTTTGAACTCTTTATGTTCATCTTTTTCGACTCAGATTTCTTTAGCATTATTCATCTCATAGGTTTTTTCTCTAGTTTTATTTTCATAAAGACAATTAAGACCAATGGTTTCTTTAATAAGCTCTGTATCAGTGAGGTTTCGATAATTTGTAAATATCTTACTTTTATTTTTTCTAATTCTTATTCTGTTTTTACCTTTTAGAGTACCCACGGTTTTATTCTCAGATTGAGATTGGACTCTTCAAGTCTTTCAAATTCAGAGATCCAAGTATCCAATATTTTTAGGTAACTATTGACTAAATCTTTTAGTATTATCTCACTATCTTTATCTGGTACTCTCTGGTCATAGTATAATTCAAGAACTTTGAATATTATTAGGTCTTTATGATTCTTATACCAGGGCCTAACTGATCAAGATTTGGGGTTCTTTACTGGTTTTTTACTTCTAGTGATACCTATAAATGGTTTAATATCTGGCAAATCTATACTAAAGTATATTATTTCTTCACCTTCAGTCTTTTGGGAGTATTCTTGGTGCCGAATAAAACAGGAATTGTAGAATGTTGCCAGTGTTTTTATATATGAAGGCAAGTATGCTATGTCTTCTGTATTCTTTTTGTCTATCATAATGTCTTCTAATACTTTTAGTAAAAATTCCAGGGCCTGTGGCACTTGTTCATTGTGAAGTTTTGAGTTACCAAATGCTTCATTGATGATTTCTTGGGCTTCCATGACTTGCTTCTTGGTAAGTATTTTAAATTGAGCTACACACCTTTTCTCTAACCTTCTTATCGCTAGGCACTTAGGCACAATATGTCCCTTTATCTCACAATAAGAACATAGAACTTCTCTTCATATAGTTTTTTGGTTTGGCTCATAGCTTTAAAATCTTCTTGAAGGGATTAGTTATTGGATTTCTTTTTTTAATGACTAATTTATAGCCTTCCTGAATCTTTGGATCTGGCTATAGATTTTTTCGTTGTAATATGTGTTCTTTCTTATTAATTGTTTTTATTTTTATTATTTTTTTTTTTAACAACTTCTATTAATCATTTTTCTTTTTCACATCTTATAGTTCACTACCAAAATGTCAAACCCGGAAATGGCGAGTCTGTTGCTAAATCGAAAGGAGGTCTATATAACCAAAATCTAGGTTACTTCTGGGTCAAAAGAGGTGCATTAGATTTGGTTGAGTGGTTAATAAATAAATATATGTAGTTTATAGTTTATATTTATATAACTTAGATATTTTATTATTTAGTAAATTGGGTATTGTTCTTCCCAAAGAGCCAAAGGTCTTTATTTTATAATGAACAATTTATCTAGAAAATCTATCTATTCTACCATTACTGTCTATATTTCCAGAAATGCTCTTTAACAATAATCCCAAAAATGCTATTGTTGACATAATCACTAGTAATCCCAAAATTGCCGTTTCTGTCATTTCTAGCAGAAATGGGTTTTCTGAGATTTTTGGTTAGAAAAACCGAATTTGGAAATAACCAAGATCACGAGACACGTGCTTGCTGTTAGGGCACATTTTGGTTTTACAACGTGATTTCTTAAATTTATACTGCTATATGTGGCTTATTCACTATTGTCACATATATACAGTATATATCTTTTATTATTGCTTAATCAAAGACATTATTACTACAAAATGTTGAAGAAAATATGGGAATAGGTCTGCTATTACTAACTGGCTCTAGTCTATACTAACAAAAAATATAGAGGAACTACTAAATTATTAGTCATATATATATAATAAAACAGGAATCTACTATTTTCTCAAATAAAAAGGAAATTACTAATTTACTACAATTACAACTCAATTTTTGTGTCTAAAGGCAGTTTATTATTTACATAGCTGTAATGAGAATCAGAATACTGCTGTTGATATACTTGTAATATGAAGGCACTAAATGCTAAAAAAAGTCTTTGCACTGCCTCTGTAGCTGTAAAGCCTAAATATGAAAAAACACATGGCCTTGTACTATTTGTAGCTACAGAGTTTAAACATCAAAAAACATGGTTCTTGCACTGCATGCTGCTGCTAAAGCTAAAAAAAATATCTAAACCTAGCACTGCTACAGCCATAAAGCCATATATAAGAAAAAAATAAGGTTCTTAACTGCTTCTGCAACCGTAAAGTCTAACATTTGCTACTCCAGGTTCTTGCACTACAACTATAGCTATGAAGCCTAACTTACTAAAAAACAGAAAAACCTGGAAAGGATTAGAAATGACAGAGCCAGCCTCTATACTAAGATGAGTGATAGCAACAAGAAAGATGAATCTCTTAATATAACACAGTACAGCTTAAATACTCTTAATTATCAAATACTGATTTATTGCATCAACCTTAATATGTGAAAATAAACCTTCTATTATTCCTAACCCATTGATTTACATCTAAGCCATCTATATATACAATACTCAGCCTAACAATCACTGAAAAAAATCAACATCTAACAAGTTATATGTAACAAACAATAAAACAAGAATAAACAAATTTAAACATGTGACTAAATAAAGTTATCTGATCTCACAAAAATGTATGCCCTGTCACTTTGTTGGCAGGCTTCCAATTAAATATTTATTTTGTTATTCTTCTATTCCTGTCATTGTTTAGATTGGTCAATACTGATAGACAGAAAATGAGATTTAATATGAATGACCATACTACGCATAATCATAGACCACTTTTTGTATCATGGCCACCCTACTAGTAATTTAATTTTTTTTTTAAAAGAATGCTTTTTTTTAAAAAAAAAAAATAAGATAAAAAATAAAAATCTATATGTTAAAATTTTGATCTTCAATGCATCAGTCTGCAACACAGCTCTTTTATACAGTATTTGGCATTAGATTGAAATGCATATTATGAATATAATAACAAAGGCAAAACAGACAAAACAATTATAAAGATTCATTTAGTTCTCATACTGAAAGTCTATCACCAAAAGAAAATCAATAAAACAGCAATAATTAATAAATATTGTATTATATTGCATCAGCGCATGTTTCTATTTTTATCGTTGAGTTAAAGATTAATATAAAGATTATTTTAAGTACCATATTGAATAAGGTGAGACCAATTTAATTCAGTAGTTTACATTACATTCTACTTACAAAAAAAGAGGTGGGTAGAGGCTGGAGGGAGTTTATTATAAATTTTTTTTCTGAAATGATCCACAATATTATAAAAATTTTCTGAAATTTTCTGCATATATAGTGAGGGGGGAAGGCAGGAGAGGGGGGGTAACATAAACCACTGAATCAAATTGGTCTCACCTAATTAATATTGCACATATGAATTTTGTGAATTAGATATATTATTAAAAAGATGGACATATCAGCAATATATATATATATATTCTTTATGGAATTTTAATATATAGTACAAACATCCATAATCAAATTATTAAATTCCAACTTTAAAGAGCTGTTAGAATTATTTTATAACATGAATTTTCTCATCCTAACACTAACCATAAAGAGCTGTTAGAATCTTTTTTATAATATGAACTTTCTTATCCTAACACTAATCATAAAGAGCTGTTAGATAATACGAACCGTCTCATCCTAACACTAATCATAAAGAACTGTTAGAATAATTTTATATACAAACTTTCGCATCCTAACACTAACCATAAAGAGCTGCTAGAATAATAACTTTCCCATCCTAACAATAATCACAATGAGCTGTTAGAATGATCTTATACAGTCCGGATCTGAATTTATTTAGATATTTGTTTACTAATATCCGGATAAATATCACTATTTAATTTTCGCCATTCTAAATATTTTGGAATGGCGTAAATATTTTAGACATCCTAAAATATTTTAGACAATCTAAAATATATTCGGCCTACTAAAATAATATTTGCAGCCTAAATTATTTTCGACACTCTATATTATTTATGATTTAGACAATCTAAAATAATTTCGCCACTTAAATTTACGACAATGGCAAAATAATTTAGACACCCATGTATAGGCATAGCGAACTGTGAAATCTTCAATTTATATTAGTTGAGTTTGGAAAGTGTAGATTTTGTAATTCAATGATCTGATGTCATTTATACAATTTAATTCAAGCTTTACAATTTATTTTAAATTTTCTCGTGATTATTTATTCATCTTTAGAATTTATTCTGGACCAATAGTAGTGGTTTTTGTCGTTTAGAAAACAATGAAGAAAGCCTTCGCTTCCAAAAAATAAAAAAACTTCAAAAAAATAAAATAAAATAAAATAAAGAAAAATATTGATAAAAGCACGAAAATAAAGTCTGAAAAAAATTTTGATACAAGTCAGAATATAATCGACTGCTGCCGCAGAGTTTTGATTAAATATTGTTGGTCAATTTTAATCACATGATTATTGAACAGCTAATCGAGAGGGGGGTGATGTTAACCTAATAATTAACTTTAAACATCCTTACTTTATTTACTCCAGCTAATAAACAATATCCATAAAATCATTCTACCAATCCACTATTCTAGCCTTTTGTTCATATTTTTTAAAAGAAAAAGCTTAAAGTTGATCATATTAAGCATAGATGATAAATATAATTACTGATCCCCCCAAAATCCAAATAAATAACCCAAATTAGAAGCAATAGAGGAAGAGGAAGGGGAAGAGGAAGAATTGTTAGGTAAAGAAAATGTATCATTAAAATTAACGGGCGTGTTGTTATTTTGCATAATGTAATTGGTATCAATATGTACTTGGTAGGGAAAGAAATCGCTTTGGATTGGTTGAGGTTCTTCACTACCGTTAAAGTAATAAGGAATGGAAGGGGAAGAGGAAGAGGAAGAATTGTTAGGTAAAGAAAATGTATCACTAAAATTAACGGGCGTGTTGTTATTTTGCATAATGTAATTGGTATCAATATGTACTTGATAGGGAAAGAAATCGCTTTGAATTGGTTGAGGTTCTTCACTACCGTTAAAGTAATAAGGAGTGGATACGCCAAACTGAAATTCATTTGAAGTCAATACGTGATCTTGCTCTGTATTTACAGCTTCATAGAAGTAATTTTCAAAACCATTAGTTGCTCTATTTGCCGCTTTCGGGCCTCGTTTTTTAAATGATTTAGCATAAGTACATTGAAGGTTATATGATGCACAATATGTGCAAGTAACTCCTTCGGAACACTTTATGTGTTTTTTTCGACAATTAGTACATGCTTTGGTCG